TAATCCATTCTCTTTTTCCATGCCTTCAGGAACTCCTCTAAGACCCATACGTCGGGTCATTTGATTGATAGTATCCCATAGATCTCTGACACTGTTTTTTAGTTTTCTAATTTCTTCTTCTTCTTCTCCTTTTTTTTTTTGGGGGGGGGGTTGTCTGACTGTAAAATTTCCAGAGATTTTTCTTCTAACTAGGATATTCTTTCCTCTGCCTCACCAACTCTGTTCTTAAGGCTTTCCACCATTGCAATGGCCCTCACATGCCCTGAGCATGTGGAGCCTCCCACAGTGACTGTCCAAAGACCCAGCCACACCCTGCGCCTTCCCACTCAGCCATAGTGCTCCTAGCACACAAGACTCCCACATTCACGAGCACCCAGACCCCTTTCAATTCTCCCAGCTGTACTCAAGGCATCTCAGCTGGTTGCTAGATGCATGGACATGAGCTGATGCAGCTGTTACAGATGTCCAAAATGGCACCCACCTTCTCTGGGCTAGTTACGGGATGCCAGTGCCAGGTGGTCGGGGAGAGAGAAACGTGCCTCTCCTCTTTTCCCATTAGATTGGCAGGTACACTGTTCCCCACTGGGCTCCAAGCCAGACTCATGCCAGGCTCTTCCCACAGCTTTACTGCCAGTGGCTAGGGCTGCTGCAGTCTGATCTCACCTCACTCTCACAAAGTTGATTCTGAGGCTCTCGGCTGCTGGATTCCTGAGTTGTGTGCATCCACACCCTCCACGTAGGCCCACAGTATGCCTCTGATTTGTGTGGAGTTTCCTCTGCTGTTTTCACCCTAACTCTTCCTGGACATAACACTCGCTCCACTTTTTTAAAACTGTCTTCCCCTAGACTAGTGCAGTAAGCTCCCTCCCTATTCCACCGCTTGAAAGCTCATCACACCATCTACCTTTAAACCACATTTACATATTCTTCATTTTCAATAATTTTTGATGCTAATTCTCTACCTTTGCATTGTCTAGGTAGTACTACTGGGAACCTTTTAGGAATACGGAGAGAAAAAAACTCAGGAGACTTGTTGCAAGGTTGTGTTAGCATTTTCTCTTTCCACTCTGGCTCACTGGACAGACTCACCCAGGATAGTTGAGGGCATAGATGGGACAGTTATTCATCCCACCAATGGTCTTCTAGTCTTGAAACTTTTAAAGGCAAGATGCATTATTCTCATTGTAAAATAATTTGAGGTCAGGAGATAGAAGATTTTGAGAGTACTGGCTAGAGGAATCTGTTTCTAGGGCTATCTGGCATATGTCATGAAGCTCCAGTGTTAAATTTCTAAGAAGAGACTACAGGCCCAGCTGGCAACTGGGGAGCAGCAAAAGAGAGCATGAGCCCTCATGTCATTCACCAGGTGCCTTGGTGATAGACAACTGATGCAGACCGCCCACAAATACTGCAAAAACGGAAGAAATAAGGCTGGTTTTCCTGAAGTCTTTCCTGAAACCATGTTTCCTCATCTATAAGTTTTAGCTCATCTGAGCCCCCATAACCCTTGGTTTATGTCTCTGTTGTACCTTCTCCAGTAGCTGTTTATGGACATGTGTTCTCCTGTCTGTCAGAATGTAAGCCCCCTGGGGTGGAAGATCTCTGTGTCTTTGTCTCTCTCTGTAACTCTGCCTTTCAAATAAATTCCTTAAAAAATAGAAGGTATGGCCGGCGCCGCGGCTCAATAGGCTAATCCTCCGCCTAGCGGCGCCGGCACACCGGGTTCTAGTCCCGGTCGGGGCGCCGCATTCTGTCCCGGTTGCCCCTCTTCCAGGCCAGCTCTCTGCTGTGGCCAGGGAGTGCAGTGGAGGATGGCCCAGGTGCTTGGGCCCTGCACCCCATGGGAGACCAGGAAAAGCACCTGGCTCCTGCCATCGGATCAGCGTGGTGCGCCGGCCGCAGCGCGCCGGCCGCGGCGGCCATTGGAGGGTGAACCAACGGCAAAGGAAGACCTTTCTCTCTGTCTCTCTCTCTCACTGTCCACTCTGCCTATCAAAAAAAAAAAAAAAAAATTAAAAAATAGAAGGTACGCTGCCTAAAGATAAAAGTATGTGTGAAAGATGCATTTAATTCGTACTTTTTTGAGATAAAAATAAATACAAGAAAGACTGCTGTTGCTAGTTGTACCATTAGTGACTTTAAAAAGTATTTATTTTAAAGATAGACAGAGTGCTTCCATCTACTGGTTCACTTCCCAAATGCCTACAGTGGTCCCATACTGTGGCTCAAATTGGGAGCCAGGAACTCAATCCAGGTCTCCCACCTTGTTAACAGGAACGTAATCACTTAAGCCATCACTGTCGCCTCCCAGGGTCTGCTCTAGTAGGAGGCAGAAATAAACACTAACTAGCATCTTAGCAGCTAGGCCAAATGCCTGCTGCCCGTCCCCCACTATTAGTGACTTATTTTATTAGTGGTCAAGGAGAGTTTAAAACAAAAACTAAATAGTTTCACAGAGGGAAATTGCTGTTACTAGGGAGCCAGAAAGAACACCATAATACTGAGTTACATATTGGAGATCTCTTCTGAATGTTCATTGAATGTGGAGTTGGGGTTAGAGGGAACTGGGGTGTATGCGTGTAGCTGAGGGAGAGAGTGGTGTAAGTTTGATGCCCTTTCCTGCTTTCAGTGGTTTGATCAGGATCATTTTAGTGATGGAAACTAGAATCAATAGTTTTTTTAAACTACATAAAGTAAACATCACATTGGATCAGAAGATAAAAAGGTTATCTGGGAGACTGCTTCCTGAGCTGCAGCCTTCTACCTTTGGGGTTCCAAACTGACACCATTTGAAGGTGAAGTTTAGATCAGAGTATTTGCCACTAATACTGTGAGAATCTTATTTCGTTTGGGTGTCTTGCAGTGCTTTTGTTGTTCATTGATCCCAAAATGATAGAGAATAGAAATCCTGAAGAGAATGAAAAAAGAGGGAAAGAATGAGGAAGTGGGGTGCATATCTCAGGAGGGTAAAATGTGAAGGCTAATGTGCAAGGAAGAAAATGCTAGAAAAATCACAGGTATTCAAACATCACCTTTTATTCAAAAGAAAACACACTTACATTTAAAACATACATATAAGCTGCAGCTCAATTTAATAGGTGTTAGGGAGGTTTATCTAAGTAAGTGACAAAGCTGATCATGATTTAGTAAAAGCTGCTGAGCTAGTGGCTATTTGAACAGTAGCATAGTATCCTTCTCAGTTCAGAAGATTCTTTTATGTATTCTTATCTATTCATATATATATATATATATATATATATATATATATGAGAGAGAGATTTATTTTTCATTCTCCAGTTCCCTCCTCAAATGTCCACAATGGCTCGGTCTGGGCCAGGCTGAAGTCAAGAGGTTGCAACTCAGTTCAGGTCTCGCTCTTGGGTGGCAGGGACCCAGGTACAGGAGCCATTACCTGCTGCCTTCAAATATGCACATTACTGGCAAGCTGGAATTGGAAGCAGAGCCAGGACTCCAACCCAGGTACTCTGATTAAGGGATGTAGGCATCCTAAGGGATGTCTTTTAAGTGCTGTACCAAATGCCCATCCTGGGGGATCTTTTAACAATGTTTCATTTGCAAAATACATGAGAGATTTAAAAAAATCTGGAACTAATTATAAAGGTATTATTAGTGAAGTCACTTGGACTCAGTGAGTAATAATGACCTCTACTTAATGTACATAATTAGGGATAAAAAGCCAGTTTGTAATGAAATCTGTGTGTATATTGGCCATTAATATGTTAAAGTGACTTCTAACATTGGAGTGCTAATAAGTTTGTGTCCAGTTTTAGTAATGTTAATAGCATTGTTAGTGAAGAAAATGAACTGTTATAAACTAGAGTGTGACTCAGGCATGGGAATTAATTGTAATTACAATACCTAGTTTAAATATTAGGTTAAAACCATCACTTCAGCTTTAATGCAAACCTAAATTATTTTGTTAACTAATAAGTTATGATGGTGGCGTTCTGACTTGACTAATTAATTGAACAGTTACATTGTTGAACATTACAGTTTTGATACCTGAAAGTGGCACTGTTTCAGTGCTAAAGAGGTGTACATACTTCTTTGCATATCGTTTATAATAACTCTCATGGATAGTCCATTGGCTAATAGGAATTTTGTTTTCTAACCACCACTGCTGCTTCACTCTCACACTCGTTCTCTACCACAAATGATGGCAGCTAGGTTGTTGGAGTTATTAGACTTATTCTCTTATTTTTTTATTTATTTATTTTTTTTTTTTTGACAGGCAGAGTGGACAGTGAGAGAGAGAGACAGAGAGAAAGGTCTTCCTTTGCCGTTGGTTCACCCTCCAGTGGCCGCCGCGGCTGGCGCGCTGCGGCCGGCACACCGCGCTGATCCGATGGCAGGAGCCAGGAGCCAGGTGCTTTTCCTGGTCTCCCATGGGGTGCAGGGCCCAAGCACCTGGGCCATCCTCCACTGCACTCCCTGGCCACAGCAGAGAGCTGGCCTGGAAGAGGGGCAACCGGGACAGAATCCGGCGCCCCGACCGGGACTAGAACCCGGTGTGCCGGCGCCGCTAGGCGGAGGATTAGCCTAGTGAGCCGCGGCGCCGGCCTAGACTTATTCTCTTAAAAAGGTGTGGTAAGGGGCCGCTGCCGTGGCGCACTAGGTTAATCCTCCGCCTGCGGCGCCGGCATCCCAAATAGGCGCTAGTTCTAGTCCCAGTTGGTTTTCTTCCAATCCAGCTCCTTACTGTGGCCTGGGAAAGCAGTGGAGGATGGCCTAAGTGCTCGGTCCCTGCACCTGCATGGGAGACCGGGAAGAAGCTCCTGGCTTTGGATTGACGCAGCTCTAGGTGTTGCGGCCATTTGGGAAGTGATCCAATGGAAGGAAGACCTTTCTCTCTGTCTCTCTGTCTCTGTGTCTGTCTGTCTGTCTGTCTCTCTCTCTCTCTCTCACTGTCTGTAAATCTACCTGTCAAATAAATAAATAAAATCTTTAAAAAAAAAAAAGGTTTTGGTTGGATGGGTCAGACAGACAGGCTTAGCCAAAAACAAAATGTGTATAAAGTTGGTATGTTCTTGGTTCTGCCTTCATTTTGTTTCTTGTCCTATCCACTGCCATTACCTTTCCGTGTCCCAGTGAGGAAGGGCATTAGTGTTAAGTGTTAGCAATTTTTATATACCTGCTGGTATATGAGCCACTCTTAAAGATCCCTTGGATTCATCTGTGTGCAGAGTGGAGATGGCAATATTTTCATATCTTTCCCGAAGTGCAAAGCACAAGCAGTGGTGAATAAGCACCACCAGATCTTTCTGGAAATTTCTGTTCAGAAATCCATAAAAGAGAGGGTTTATGCATGTGGAAACCATAGCAACCAAGTGGCATATTGCAAACACCAGATCATGGTGGCAGCTCATCAGCACCTCGTGATACCAGTCAAAGATAACATTGAAGGTGTTCAGGGGCAGCCAGCAGGCTGCAAAAGTCACAACGATGGAGATCAGCATTGTGTTGATTCTCTTGTTCTCAGTGAGCCGGCTTTCATTTTCCCTCCTTCTGTCTATTTTGCTGTTTCTCTTGTGGAGGCAGATAACAATCTTCAGGTAGCAGATGAACATGAAGCCCAGCGGGACAAAATACTGGAGCATAATCAAGGAGGTGGAATAGAGGAGCTGGTTTGTCTTGGAGGGCCAGTGCTCTACACAGACTACATGGTGACTGTAGAGGTCAGTGGGGAGAGAGAGGTTGCGGAAGGGCTCATCAGTGAGGTGGTAGGAAAGCAACAAGGGAATGGACAACAGAAGGGAGAAGAGCCAAATCAGCATGATGCCCCAGTAAGCGTGGGATGCACTCGGCTTCCAGCCACGGGGGTTCACAATCAGCTGATATCTTTCAATAGCAATTAATACAAGTGAGAAAATAGACACAGAGATGGAGACACTCTGTACATAGGAGGTGAGTTTGCACATGGTGTTCCCAAATATCCAGCGATCCATCAGAGTGTAAATAGCAGTAAAAGGGATGCACATGACACACACCAAGATGTCAGAGAGGGAGAGGTTGGCAATCAGTATGTTGGTGACATTCTGAGCTTCTCTCTGCTTCTTAAAGATGATGGTGATGAGAGAGAGGTTTCCACAAATGCCCATGATTAAAACCACAGTATAGGCAATGAGTAATAGGAGTAAGGCTAGAGAAGGGGATTGACAGGATTCAAAGTAAAAAAATGCTGAGCTGTTGCTCTTTGCACTGGTTTTATTAGATGCTGGGTCATTGAGGGAAACTTCCATTATTTCAGGATTCTGAGAAATTTCCTAAACTCTCTTGTATTATGAGTGGATATTTTGGCCATCAGTTCCTGGGAAGCACCTTTCTCTGAGGCTTCCAATGAGTAACTAGTAGGGTTTAATCTTCTCTGGTTTCTGTCTGGGTTTGATGGAAACACATGAATGGTTTGAGCACTCTTGAGACCCTAGAAAATTAAACAGAATTAAACAGAAACCAAAATATTAATGCAGGTTCTTAGCAATATGGACTGTTCTGTATGTAGAACAATGTCTCTGAGAGGATATAGGCAGATATCTAGAGATTCTCTGTACCTTTACCCTCATCTCAGGGTGTTTTATTTGTCCAGTCAGTATGATCTGTCAAGCTGGTGAAGTAGGCATATAACAACATTCTGTTGACTGTATTAGGCAACCCAAATACATGTTCCCATGCCCCTAAGCTGCCATCCCCCACTTTTTTAGGACCATCTGGGCATGCACCCACCTGCTCAAATGGACTATAAAAGTCTTAGGGTAGGGATTGTGCTGTGAAGGCTAGAATACTGTTTGCGATTGAGTTCTTTTTTTATTTTTTTGACAGGCAGAGTGGACAGTGAGAAAGAGAGAGACAGAGAGAAAGGTCTTCCTTTTGCCGTTGGTTCATCCTCCAGTGGCCGCCGCGGCTGGTGCGCTGAGGGTGGCACACCGCGCTGAGCCGATGGCAGGAGCCAGGTGCTTTTCCTGGTCTCCCATGGGGTGCAGGGCCCAAGCACCTGGGCCATCCTCCACTGCACTCCCTGGCCACAGCAGAGAGCTTTCCTGGAAGAGGGGCAACCAGGACAGAATCCAGCACCCCGACCGGGACTAGAACCCTGTGTGCCGGCGCTGCAAGGCAGAGGATTAGCCTATTGAGCCACAGTGCCGGCCACGATTGAGTTCTTCTGTGGCTTGAATGTCTGTATCTCTTCCAAAGTTCATGTTCTAACTTAATCTCCAGTGCATCAGTATTAAGAGGTAGGATGTTTGGGAGATGATTAGCCCAGGAGAGATATGCCCTCATGAATGGATTTGTGCCTTAAAATAAGTACGTGAAGAGGCTGGCGCCGCGGCTCACTAGGCTAATCCTCCGGCTTGCAGCACCGGCACACCGGGTTCTAGTCCCAGTCGGGGCACCGGATTCTGTCCCGGTTGCTCCTCTTCCAGGCAAGCTCTCTGCTGTGGCCAGGGAGTGCAGTGGAGGATGGCCCAAGTGCTTGGGCCCTACACCCCATGGGAGACCAGGAGAAGCACCTGGCTCCTGCCTTCGGATCAGTGCGGTGCACTGGGCGCAGCGCACCGACCGCAGCGGCCACTGGAGGGTGAACCAACGGCAAAGGAAGACCTTTCTCTCTGTCTCTCTCTCTCTCACTGTCCACTCTGCCTGTCAAAAAATAAAAAATAAGTACGTGAAGAGACATTCTGTCCCTTCTACTACATGAGGACACAACATTTGTTTCCTCTGAAGAATGCAGCAACAAGGTGCCATGCTGGAGGCAGTCACTAAACCTGCCAGCATTTTAATTGTGTACTTCCCAGCCTCCAGACCTGTAAGAAATAAATTTAGACTGTTTATGAATTTCCTAGGCTGTGGTACAATTTGTTGTAATAGCACAGATCGATCAAGACAGCTTCCAGTTGGAGAACTGATATCCCTAAGTACTTTAATATGAGTCAATTGTCTTTTTTCCTTATCTTTTTTTTTTTTTTTTTTTTTTTTTTAACTTGTGGAATGGGATGAGTAAGCTTTTTCTAGGCAGGCATTTTGGTGCAGTGGTTCATCTACCACGTACCATATTGGAAAGTGCCTCTGCTTCCCATTCAGCTTCTTGCTAATGCATCCTGAGAGGTAGCAGATGATGGATTAAATACTTGAGTCGTTGCCACCTACACGGGAGACCTGGATGGAGTTCTGGACTTCTGGCTTTGACCTGGTCCAGCCCTGGCTGTTGCAAGCAGTTAAGGAGAGAACTAGTAGATAGAAGATGGATCTCTTTGTCTCTGTAAGTCTGTCTGAGTTATTGTGAAGATTAAATAAGATCATGCAGCTAAATTTGTCCTTCATCTGATTGTAGAGCACATAGCAGATACTTAGTATATGTGTGTTGAATAACATTTGCCAGCTTCACTGCCCAGAGCTAGGCTATAGCCTACACTAGTATATGCCTTCTCCTCTTTTTTTTTTTTTTTTTTTTGACAGGCAGAGTGGACAGTGAGAGAGAGAGACAGAGAGAAAGGTCTTCCTTTGCCGCTGGTTCACCCTCCAATGGCCACCACGGCCGGCGCGCTGCGGCCGGCACACCACGCTGAGCCAAAGGCAGGAGCCAGGTACTTATCCTGGTCTCCCGTGGGGTGCAGGGCCCAAGTACTTGGGCCATCCTCCACTGCACTCCCTGGCCACAGCAGAGAGCTGGCCTGGAAGAGGGGCAACCGGGACAGAATCCGGCGCCCCGACCGGGACTAGAACCCGGTATGCCGTCGCCACAAGGCCGAGGATTAGCCTAGTGAGCCGCGGCGCCGGCCGCCTTCTCTTTTTACATTTTCTGCTTTCTGAGGTTGAAGTCATACCTTGTATATGTAGATTCTGGATATATTACTCAGCTTCTGGACATCAAAGCAAGTGCTTAGTATGCTATTTCCCAGAATTAACTTTATTAGAATTATTCTTCCAGGGGCTGGTGTTGTTTAAGTCCTGGCTGCTCCACTTCTGATCCACTTCTGATCTCTTACTGCACCTAGGAAAGCTGTGGAAGATGGCCCATAGAGCTTGAGCTTCTGTACCCGTGTGGGAAACCAGGATGAAGCTCCTGGCGTTGGCCTGGCCCAGCCATGGCCATTGCAGTCATTTGGGAAGTAAAACAGTAGATGTAACATTTCTCTCTCTCTTTCTCTCTCCCTCCCTTTCCTCTTTCTCCCTCACCCTCCTTACTTCTGCCCTCCTACCCCATAATGCTCTCTTTCAAATGAATAAAACAAATATTTAAAAGAAAGCATTCCTTCAATTCTTGCTTCCTCCAGAAATTCTTCTAATGTCCAGGGAAATGGGGGCCCTAGTCCTATGGCTCATCGTAGCATAGGTGATCATTCAGTGGAATTGTTCATACCTGGATGTACATCCGGTGTGCTCTCCCTGCTGTTCTAAGTGCTGAGATTTCTGGCCCAAAGAGAACACATTGAAAGAGGGCAAATGGAAGGGGAAAAACCCAGCCTTCTCATCTTGGTTTATTATTTAAGAATTTGAGGAAAACAGCATAAATAATACTTTTAAAGGAAGCTGAGCAGTCGGAATGAAAGAGGACAGACTCTTATTTGCTGTTTGAAATTACATTGGCCTGTTGCATTCTTCCTGAGTTCAAAGGCTTAGCAGATTCTCATTGGAAAGAAATCATTGTAAAAATACTTATGTCTGCCACGGTTTCAACAACAGATGCCACAATGAGGAAGACCATAAAAATATTGTAGATGATAGAAACTTTTGATAAGACAGTTCATTTTATAAAGAAAGACCCAAGGGACTTATCTGTGGCTTAGATGTGATGTAGTGATAAGGAGAAATAGCAAAGCCTATAAACAGTGTTATTCAGAAAGAAGGCATGGTTAGGACTTGGATGATCCAGGCATTTAACAGATGTAGATTTCACAGATACTGGCCACAGAGAAACTCAAGACATATTTAAGCTTCTTAGGAACATTGTGAGACTAGAACTATAAATGAGCAATAAATGCTTTGCTTGCTAATTAGAGGCCTCCCACCAAGCAAACTACTTGGAAGAGGAAAGGACTGAAAAGGAAAAAGAAAATAGTTACTACTATGTAGATTGTTTGGCATGCTAGAATGAGCAATAGACTTGCTGTCAGGAGATGTATCCCACTGCCACCTAGCTGTTTGGTCCTGGGCAAGTTCACTTTCCTTCTTTTGATCTCAATTTCTTCATCTTTTAAATGAAATTGAAGAATGGCTTCACTTTCACATTTTGTTACAAAGGCCAATGGAATTTGGAATAATATATTTAAAACATTTTATAAAAAATACTGAAAATTGAAGTGCTCACTATTATTATTCTCGAATGTGTCAGACATTGTTTTTAAAGATGTATTTATTTGAAAGTCAGAGTTAGAGGCAGAAGCAGAGAGAGAGAGAGAGAGAGAGAGAGTGAGAGAGAGGTGTTCCATGAGCCGGCTGACTCCCCAAATGGCTGCAACAGCAGGAGCTGCGCTGATCCAATGCCAGGAGCCTGGAGCTTCTTCCAGGTCTCCTACATGGATCCACCCAAGGACTTGGGCCATCTTCTACTGCTTTCCCAGGCCATAGCAGAGAGCAGGATGGGAAGTGGAGCAGCTGGGAATCGAACTGGTGTTCATGTGGGATGCTGGCAGTGCAGGTGGCGGCTTTACCCACGCCACAGCGCTGGCCCTGTGTCAGACATTTTGACTGAATTGATCTAACCCCTATCCTCCAAAGAACCAATAGTACTTTTTTTTTTTATCTGCTATACTATTTCTTCTTCTTGTTTGTGTGTGTGTGTGTGTGTGTGTGTGTGTGTATGTTTTTAAAAAGATTTATTTATTTGAAAGGCAGAGGAAGAGAGACAAAGATCTTCCATGCACTGGAGCCTGGAACTCCTAGGTCTCCCACATGTGTGGCAGGCACCCAAGCACTTGGGCCACCTTCCACTGACTTCTCAGGTAGATTAGCAGAAAGTGGAACAACTGGGATACAAACAACTTAGCACTCATATGACATGTCAGCATTGTAGGCAGCGGCTTAAGCCACAATGCCAGCCATTCTATACTGATTATATTATTTATTTTTCCAAAACCAAGTTTGTTGGGAAGGAACTGGGGTTATTATAATTCCATTTCATATAGAAACTAAAATACAGAAAGCTCTAAGACCTTAGCTAAAGTCAAACAAAATCAGTTGTCTTGTAGGTTTTTTTTCTTCCTAGCTCTTACTGTCTACAATAAAGAAATGCTTCCTATGAATCCTACAAAGTTAGTTTGAATAACAATCTTCTCTTGACATCTGAATTCAAGAGTTTTTTTGCGGAGTTCCTAGCAGAATGGTAATAAGGTGGGAATAAACAGTGGGATGCCTGTACTGCCCATTTCTGGTGAACTGGGTGTTTTCATAGTAGCTGGAGATTGATTGTCATCCTGCCACAGTGGGTCAGCTTTCTTGTAAGCTGATTATTACAAAGTACAAGTAAGCTCTGCAGCCATAAATTCTTGTAGAGGTTTGGAACCCGGGAGAACCAGAAGAAGGATGATTGGGCCTCATCTAGGAGGAAATGGAAGGGGAGTAAGGGAATTAACATTATCCAGTGCCCTCCATGCTCTACAAAGGTTAATGGGAATATCTCCAAATATGGGTTTTAAATTGAGATTTACACTTTACATAATTGGTAACTGTTAAGATTGTTAAACCCTGCTATCTGAAAGCAAAGCCCTGATTCATAAAAAATTCTTGGGATACATTTCTGTTTTAGGAAACTTCATCTTTGCTTTGCTGGGTTGGAAATGACCCAGGGATGTAGGATCTCAAACTACCAAGTGACATTTTGTTAAAAAATATGAGTAGCATTTACAAAAGTAGATAATCTTTAACCTTTATTGTGATTGTGTCTAGCTTGTGAGGTACCTGCCTTGAACTGGTTCCAGTTATGTGTTTTAATGCAAAAGTATATTATATTATTGATGTTTTGTGTTTAAAAGTTTCAAGATGAACAAAATAAGAGCCTTACTCTTCCAAAGTGTCTGTGTGCGTAGTTATTTTTTGATCTGAATGTCATTTTGTTAGTGTGTACCTTTAGTCTTGTCTTTTTATTCATATGGTTTTTTGGCGGAGGGGGATGGTGGGAAAGGGTGGGGGTAGATTTGTGTGTCTGTCCTTGAGTCCATCTTTTGCTTCTTTACTTTGGCTATCTTCTCTTTCTTTCTAACTGTCTTATTCTCTACTCTGTCTTCCTTTGATTGTCCATAACATAGAGATATTAAAGCGTATTTTAGATTATTTGGTACTGTGCTGCTTTAACCTGGAAGAGACTCTAAAGGTCTTCTAATACACTCCTCTTGTTTGATAGATTTTAGTTACTGGCAGAACAGCAACCAGAACCTAAGTCTCCTGGCTCCCAGAGTTCTATGTTCTTCCCACTATCTTCTGCTGCCTCCTGTTAGATGTTTTTTGAATAAAGATCTGGATTTCTTGTTCCTAATTTAAAAGCAGGTGAGTAGAACAGTTTAAAATTTCTTTTATGTTTAAAAAAATATCTAATGTAACTTCAGAGTATGTGGCCTTGGACAATGTGAAGTTTTGCACACTTCTTACCTCCCAAGTATGTATATGAGGGCCCAAAATAGGACAGGATCACACTGCAAACGTCCCCCAGACTCTAAATCTCCAGGAATATAGATTCTATGCTTGTGCTAATACAAATAAAATGTTACACTAGTTTAGAGCTGTATGATTTTCAAAGTACTGCCTAGTTAATTAATTAATTCATGTGCTGACAAGGTGGTCTGTCTTGATCTTTACAGCAGCCCTGTGCTCAAGATAGGAGTGATACTTTAATTCTGATTTTACAAAGATGGGAACCAAGATTCAGTGATTTGCTCATGGTTGCATAGTCAGTAGCAAAATCAGGACTAGAACTTCTGCTTTCTAAACTGTATACAAAAGAATATTTCTGGTTTATATATATTTGGTCATTTTCCTTTTTTCTTATTTCATTTTAAAAAATAAATCAGATGCATAATTTTTGCTCCATTAGTGCAAATAAAACTAGAATTTCAGAAAAGACACATTAGAGAGCTTACCCTGAGAACCAAGTACTACATTTTGAAAACAGCATCAAAGAAACAAGTAACTCATCTCTCACAGCCTTATTAAAAAGTGTAGTTGGCCTGGTTATTCAACATCATACCTCTTTATTCCATTCAACTAGTCACCCATTCCAAAAAATAAAATTTTATGTCTATTACAGAAGTATATGCTGTCTTAGAAGACTTGAAGGTTACATTTGATACATTCATTCTTTTATTATGTATACTTTGTGTTTTTGTTGTTGTATATGCTTTATTTGGTTTTTGTTTGTTTCTCAAACAAACAAATTTGACCATTTCCTAAGCCCATAGAAAGTATTAGTGGAAAAATATACACATTTCCCAAAGCCACTCTTAAAATCAGGCCAACACAGATCATCTGAATTGGCTTTAATTGTCTTTGAGGGTTAAAAACTGAATTTGCCATTTTAGGGATGTTGAGGTCTTCAGTTCTTTAAAATAACATTGAATCAAATGCATCAAGAAAGGAGAGCTCCACTCTGCCAGTGAAAATAATTATACAATCTTTTAAAATTTATTTACTAACAGATAAAAGTAATCAAAACCCCACTGTGCTAATAGATTTGGGGTGTTTTTTGATAATTTTCTTAAAATTATAAAGCTGTAGGGATTTCAGATCACATAAGTGAAAACATAACAGAAGTAATTAGGCCCCAAAACACTGAAATTCCACTTTTTAATGATCTTCACAAATTTTAAAGACTTGCTTTTTTAACATGAGATGCACATTTGAAAAGGTCATTTGCAAATCTTAAGGGTTTTTTGTTTGTGTTAGCATTTTAGAGGTTTGTTTCCCACTTTCTTACCTGTTGGAAATTTTTGGCTCTATTGCTGTTTTCCGCTTTCAGGTGTTTTCTTTCTTCATTTCCATTTAAGAACTTGTTTCTCTGCTGAAGGACGACTTGTAAACCGTTTCTCCAAGTTGCGGCATCCCCTTTCCCTTCTTGGCTTATTTATTCACGAAGAACCCTACAGCTCTTATTTCCGAAGCTATTCCCTGGGGCTGGAATTATCACACAGAGTATAGCTCTGGATTCCGGCGCGGCTGAAAGCTGCTGAAGAGATGGAAGGGAGGAGCCAGAAATCTCAGCAGTACTCATATTGGAAGGAGCCGTTTAAAAGATGGTTTCAAAAAGTCACTTTCAATCATCTTGTAGAGATGATGAGAGTGCATCTTGAAAATCTACAGAATTTTCTGGCATATATATATATGTATATATTCATACAAAAATAAACTTTGCCCTAATCAACCATTTGATTTAAATAGTTCTGAAAATTATTAGTCAACATTAACAGTTTTAGAGAATTTACTGTTCATTAAAAGATGGGTTTTCTTTTAAATTTTTCTACTAGTTATGAGATTAACAAAAATGCTTTTATTTATTTATTTTTACTTATTTGACAGATAGAGTTATAGATAGTGAGAGAGAGAGACAGAGAGAAAGGTCTTCCTTCCATTGGTTCACTCCTCAAATGGCCGCCACGGCCGGCGCTGCACCGATCCGAAGCCAGGAGCCAGGTGCTTCTTCCTGGTCTCCCATGTGGGTGCAGGGCCCAAGCACCTGGGCCATCCTCCACTACCTTCCCGCTCCACAGCAGAGAGCTGGACTGGAAGAGGAGCAACAGGGACTAAAATCCGGTGCCCATATGGGATGCCGGCGCCACAGGTGGAGGATTAACCAAGTGAGCCACTGTGCCAGCCCCAAAAATACTTTCAAATTTGAAGTTAAACCTGTTTCCTAGGGAAATATGTTTTATAAGCTTTCTAACAGCTGAACTGCTTGTGAAGTATGAAGGGAAATGGGGGCCAAAAAAGCTCTTTTTTTGTTTTTGAAAAATTATTACAAGAATGGCACCATTCCTTACTGTTAGAACAGACTGCAAAAATAAGATTTAGATTATGTGCAAGAAATATTTCCATATAGTGAATGGTTGAAAGTTTTAAGAAACAAGGTTATAAAATATTGTATGGCTGAAAATATTTCTGGCATAGGCTAGTGATAGACACGCAACATTTTGAAATACTTCCTAAGCCAAGAATTCAAAGATGGGCACCTCCCTTTCCAAATTTTAGAACTAAGCCCTGTGTATCAAATTCCATTTCTCCATCCAGTATGCTAAACTAATCAATTAAAACTCAAAATTCCTAGCCAATCAACAGTATTGAAATTGTGTATTCATGTTTTATGGAACCTTCCAGGTCTGTAGGGTGGCACAGGGGTCTGTGCTGCAGGAGTAGAAGCCAGTCTCTGGCCAGCGCTGTGGCTCACTTGGCTAATCCTCCACCTGAGGTGCCAGCACTAGAACCTCAGGTTCTAGTCCTGGTTGGGGCGCCGGGTACTAGTCCCAGTTGCTCCTCTTCCAGTCCAGCTCTCTACTGTGGCCAGGGAGTGCAGTGGAGGATGGCCCAAGTGCTTGGGCCCTGCACCCCATGGGAGACCAGGATAAGTACCTGGCTCCTGCCATCGCATCAGCGCAGTGCGCCGGCCTCGGCGGCCATTAGGGGAGTGAACCAACGGAAGGAAGACCTTTCTCTCTGTCTTTTCTCTCTGTCTTTCTCTATCACTGTCTAACTCTGCCTGTCTAAATAAATAAATAAAAATAAAAATGAAAATAAATGAAAGAAGGCAGTCTCTTATAGGAACTTGAAGAGTAGATGTGGTTGAACAGTCCAGTGGTCCATACCTCTTCTCTTCTTTTTTTTTTTTTTTTTTTTTTTTTTTTATCTTTTATTTAATGAATATAAATTTCCAAAGTACGTCTCATGGGTTACAATGGCTTTCCCCCCCATACCGTCCCTCCCACCCACCACCCTCCCCTTTCCCACTCCCTCTCCCCTTCCATTCACATCAAGATTCATTTTCGATTATCTTAGTATACAGAAGATCAGCTTAGTATACCTTAAGTAAGGATTTCAACAGTTTGTTCCCACACAGAAACATAAAGTGAAAAATAATAGATGATTTTTTTTTTAAATGATGATGAAATCAGATCAGACCTATTGTCATGTTTAATCCCAGTGAGAGTCAAGTTGGGAATTGATAGTTTCTTTTCTTTTCTTTTTTTTTTTTTTAACAGAAGATCAGTTTAGTGTACATTAAGTAAAGATTTCAACAGTTTGCACCCCCATAGAAACACAAAGTGAAATATACTGTTTGAGTACTCATTATAGCATTAAGCCTCAGTGTACAGCACATTAAGGACAGAGATCCTACATGAGGAGTAAGTGCACAGTGACTCCTGTTGTTGACTTTACAAATTGACACTCCTGTTTATGGCATCAGTAATCTCCCTATGCACCAGTCATGAGTTTCCAAGGCTATGGAAGCCCCTTGAGTTCTCCGACTCTTATCTTGTTTAGACAAGGTCATAGTCAAAGTGGAGGTTCTCTCCTCCCTTCAGAGAAAGGCACCTCCCTCTTTGAAGACCTGTTCTTTCCACTGGGATCTCACTCACAGAGATCTTTTTGCCAGAGTGTCTTGGCTTTCCATGCCTGAAATACTCTCATGGGCTTTTCAGCCAGATCCGAGTGCCTTTAGGGCTGATTCTGAGGCCAGAGTGCTATTTAGGACATCTGCCATTCTATGAGTCTGCTGAGTATCTCACTTCCCATCCATACCTCTTCTTTCTCAGTTCTGTATCCTCATTACTTATTTGCCTATTTGTACCTGAAATATAGAGAGTAGCAAACTTTGTAACATTTTAGGATTTATTTAAAAATATTTATGTGTTTAATTTATTTCACTGGCAGAGAGAGAGAGAGACAGAGAGAGAGAGAGAGAGAGAGAGATCCCAGCTGCTAGTTCATTCCCCAAATGTCTGTGTTGGCTGAAGCTGGACAAGCCTGAAGCTAGGAGCTAGGAACTACTCTAGGTCTCCAATGTAGGTAGCAGGGACTCAACTACTAAGGCCATGACCTGCTACCTCCCAGGAAGCTGAAATTGGGAGCAGAACTGGGACTTGAACCAGGGCACTCCAATATCGGATGTTGGGCATCCCAAGCAGTGTCTTACCTGCTAGGCCAAATGCCCACCCCTACAGAGTTTATTGAAAAAAAAAAACCATTTTTTTCATATATTAAATACTGATGAAAACTAGCAGTGTCTACAGGTTTGGTGGATATTAAGAGACCTTAGGGGTGGGCATTGTGGGCAGTGGGTTAAGCTGTTACCTGGGGTGCCTGTATCTCATGTCAGAGTGCCGCTTAGAGTTCTGGCTATTTTGCTTCCTATCCACCTCCCTTATTAATGTGCCTGGGCAGCAGTGGATGACGGTTCAAGTACTCGCATTCCTGATACCCATGTGGGAGACTGAAGCTCCTGGCTTCCGTTTGGCCTAGCCCCTGCTGTTGTGGCCATTTGGGGAGTGAATCATCAGTTTAAAGATCTCTCTCTCTCTTTCTGTAACTTTGCCTTTCAAATAAATAAAAATAAATAAATCTTTAAAAAATGGGAGAGAGATCTTAGATATGTGTGATGTTGGTGGAAATTTTGAGAAGCAGCTTATGTCAGATAGAGCTGTTTCTAGTCTAGGTTCTCCTGGACTACCTAGTTGGGTGACCTTGATATTCTTTATGGGTTTTGTATTTCTTTTCTATAAGATTAATTTTTTAAAGATTTATTTTACTTATTTGAAAGGCAGAATTAGAGAGAAAGTGGAGACAGAGAGAGAGCTCTTCCATTTGCTGGTTCACTCCCCAAATAGCCACAACGGCCCAGACTGGGCAAGGCCAAAACCAGGAGCTAGGGGCTTCATCTAGGTCTCTCACATCGGTGTAGGGGCTCAAGCATCTTCCACTGCTTTCCCAGGCACATTAGCAGGGAGCTGGATTGGAAGTGGAACAGCTGGGACTATGAACAGATGGAGACCCACTGATTTTGTTTTCTGTTGAATCACCTGGTACAAACAAATGCCTTCAACAAAGGTTATAATTCTTAAAAGTATATTTGAATGGAAAGGTTTGATAGTCATAATTCAATTCCACTGAAATCCCAGTGGGGTTATAAAAATTTAGAAAAAAGTATATAAGTGAGACTAGCTTTGAAAAATTGACTAATTAAAATAAAAACATATCAACTAAACAAAATATTAAAAAAATAAAGTGTCAGTAATTGGATTAGTATAATGCCTGGTCAACAGTTAGCAGAAGGGGTGGGGTTTGGCCTAGTGGCTAAGATGTTGATAAGGATGCCCATGTGCTACATCAGAGTGCCTGGGTTTGGCTCCTAGTTCTGACTCCTGATTCCAGCTTCCTGCTAATGAGGACCCAGGGGGTCAGCACTGATGACTTAAGCAAGTGGGCTCCTGTAACACATGTGGGGGACCAGAATTAAGTTCCTGACCCCTGGTTTCAGCACCCTTGGATGTTGTGAGCATTTGGGGAGTGAACCAGAGGATGACTCTCTCTGTCTTTCTGTCCCCCCTGCCTCTCAAGTAAATTAAAAGGAATTAACAGACAGTCTCATGGAATGGGAGAGTTAAAAAGAGAGCCTAATATACATAAAATTTTAATATATTATAGAGAAAACAGCAAAGATTTCTGGGAAAGGAAATGATTATTCAACAAATACTATTAGAACAATGAATTAGCTGCTTAGAAAATATATTAATTTTATTCCCTTTTTTTTTGATAGAGTGGACAGTGAGAGAGAGAGACAGAGAGAAAGGTCTTCCTTTTGCCGTTGGTTCACCCTCCAATGGCTGCCGCGGCCGGCCCGCTGCGGCCGGCACACCGCACTGATCCGATGGCAGGACCCAGGTACTTATCCTGGTCTCCCATGGGGTGCAGGGCCCAAGGACTTGGGCCATCCTCCACTGCACTCCCTGGCCACAGCAGAGAGCTTGCCTGGAAGAGGGGCAGCCGGGACAGAATCCGACGCCCTGACCGGAACTAGAACCTGGTGTGCTGGCGCCGCAAGGCGGAGGATTAGCCTAGTGAGCTGCAGCGCTGGCTGTAATTATGATTTTTAAAAAGTGTGTTAGTTTACTCATTTATTGCCTTTCTTAGTAATATAAGCTCTTTGTAGGCAAGAGCTATGTTTTACTTGTTGATATATCTTTAGTGACCATGCATGGTTCCTAGAATATAGCAAATCTTAAATGAATATTTGTGAAATGAATGAATAAGCTTAAACTCAATAGAAGAAAACACAAGGGGAAAGATTGAGTTGCCTATTTAAATTATCAGTTTTATCTAAATTAAGACAAAAATGGGGAAAATTGTTACAATGAACATGATAAAAATATGACATTTTTCTTTATGAATCATATATGTGAATTTTCAGGGAAAATACTAATATCCCAGTAGGGAAATAATATGGACAATTGATATATGAGAAAATAAGACAGACTAATAGATATTTGAAGAAAAAGGTTCAGCTGTCACTAGTAGTCAGAGAAACAGAAAACAAAACAGGAAATCATCAAACATTGAGAAAAGTGAAAGAGAAATGTTCTAGGCAAAATGGGTAGTGAAAGGGGTATTTATACATTACTGGTGGAAGTATTACTAGCAGAGAGCCTTAATAAATGTTTATTTTGTTGATCCCATTAATTCTAGTTCTAGAAATCTACCCCAAGGAAATTCTATTAGGAGATGCAAGTGAAGATTTTGGCATGGAGATATTCATTGCAGTGTAATTTACGTCAATAAAAAACCAAAAAACTTAAAGCTCCATTAGTCAGAGAATGGTTGCAAATAAGAGTTTACCTATGCAGCCACTGAAAATTCTTTTTAGGGAGAATATTAAATAATATGAAACCACTGTGATGTAAAGTTAAATGAAAGCAGCATGATATGGAACATGGATTCTGTACAACCTCAAATATGCAAAACAATATAGAGATTAAGGAAAATAGGCCAGTGTTAATGGTTATCCTTAGGATTAGAATTATTGGTGATTTTTATACTGTATAGTGTTTCCTATTTGTATTTTTTTCTAAAATGAGCAGATATTAGTTTTTTTCTTTCTTTTTTTATTTATTTTGAAAGAGTTGCCGAGAGAAGGAAGAGAGAGAGCTTGCCCATCTGCTGGTTCACTCTCCAAATGGCCTCAATAGCCAGGGCTGGGTCACACCAAAGTCAGGAGCCAGAAGATTCCTCTGGGTCTCCCATGCGGATGGCAGATTCCCAAACACTTGGGCCATCTTCCACTGCTTTTCTCAGGCCATTAGCAGGGAACTGGATTAGAAGTGGAATACGGGTCCAGTGCTGTGGCATAACAGGTAAAGACACCATCTGCAGTGCCAGCATCACATATGGGTGACAGTTCAAGTCCCGGCAGCTCCACTTCCAATTCAGCTTTCTGCTCTGGCCTGGAAAAGCAGTAGAAGATGGCCCAAGTCCTTGGGCCCTTACACCCATGTGGGAGACCTGGAAGAAGCTCCTGGCTCCTGGCTTTGGATCAGCCTAGCTCCAGCCATTGTGGCCATTTGGGGAGTGATCCAGCAGATGGAAGGCTTCTCTCTTTCTCTCTGCCTCTGCCTCTGTAACTCTGCCTTTCAAATAAATAAATACATCATTAAAAAAAGAAGAAGAAGTGGAATAGCTGGGACTCAAACTGGCACCCATATGCATGCCAACATTGCAAGATGCAGCTTTACCCACTATATGCTTCAATGCCGGCCCAGATTTTGGTCTCCCAATTGGAAAAATAAGTTTCTTTTCTTTTCAGCATTGATGTTGAAAGTGGAGATCCTTGTGTGCTGTACTTACTAGTGATAAAATTTAGCAAGCATTAGAGTTTGGTTACCTCAAAATTCACTGTGGTGGGGCGCCGGATTCTGTCCCAGTTGCCCCTCTTCCAGGCCAGCTCTCTGCTGTGACCCGGGAGTGCAGTGGAGGATGGCCCAAGTGCTTGGGCCCTGTACCCCATGGGAGACCAAGAGAAGCACCTGGCTCCTGCCATTGGATCAGCGTGGTGTGCCGGCCACAGCGGGCCGGCCGCGGCAGCCATTGGAGGGTGAACCAAAGGCAAAAGGAAGACCTTTCTCTCTGTCTCTCTCTCTCACTGTCCACTCTGGCTGTCAAAAAAAAAAAAAAAAAAAATTCACTGTGGTAATTGCAAAAGTTAGTTTATTGGCTAATAGACTCGAACAACAGGCATTCATTGATTATATTATTCAAAGAAAGATAAGCCTCTGATTTCTCTGATCTCTTTAGAGCCCTTGCAACATTGATATTTGTGATATCACTATATTGTGTGCCTTATATACCTTTGATAAGCTTAAATTAAAACATTAGTAGGGCGGGCATTTGGCCTAGCACTTAGGATGCCTTTGTCCCATATTGGCTGGGTTTGATGCATGGCTGTTGTTCTGACTCCACCTGCTTGCTAACCCGTCCCTGGAAGGCAGAGGTGATGGCACCCACTTGGGAGAGAAGAACTGAATTTCTGGCCCTTGGCTTTGCACCAGGCAGAGGCCATTGTGGGCATCTGAGGAGTGAACCAGCAGATAGGAGTTCTTTCCGTCTCTCCTTCTCTGTCTCTCCCTCTCCCCTCTCCTTTTGCTTCCCTGTCTCTCTGCCCTTCTGTCTCTCAAATAAAAGCAAAGCAAAACATCATGTGATTCTCTAAGTACGTGTTTTTACTATATTAGGAAAAGTTAAGTTTGGAGAACGTCTTGATAAATACGAAGTCCCAGTTATCTGTTCTAATTTACTGATTATGGGAGAAGCTTGGTAAAGAAAGGGTTCCTGTTTTTTTCTCACTGCACTGCAGCTTTACTTTTGTCAAGACATTTTTGACTTAACAGTTCTCTCATTAAATGCATTTTTAAAAAGAAATGCTGCTTGAATTCTTTTTTTCCCTAGATTTCAGTGGATCTTACATGAAATATTCACTCAGTTAAGCTTAGAGTGAGTCCTACTAACAGGGATCCCTGTTATGAATCTTGTCTTTAGAGAATCAACATATCAAAAACCTTCAAAAGTATCAGTGTCATTCGGAATCCAGCACTCCACAGCACAGTACAGCTTGTAACCGGAGCATCTGCTGTACTAACACCATTCAGTCCTGGGTACGTTTCTCTCCGTCTTTAGCCCTGTGCCCTTGAAACAAAAGGTGACATGATAGTTATGGGCTGTTGATATTCGTTATGGTCAATGCTTTGGCGTATGGGGAGGATTTGAGTGGTGAAAGTTGTTAGGTAAGAGAAAGGACAAAATAATTAACCTAGCACAATTGCCACAGATTCTCATATAATTAAGTATCATTTCACTTATTCTCTTGTTTCTCTTTGGATTGCAATTTTTGTTCTGGATACTCCCAAATTAGAATGCTCATGGCAATTGAGTAATATTTTGCAAGATCAAACAATTCATATTACTTTTAAATCTTAGATATGACAGTCTAGACATTGTTAACCTTGACAGTGGATGAATTGTAAAATTTTGAATTCTTTTTTTTTTTTTTTTTGACAGGCAGAGTTAGACAGTGAGAGAGAGAGAGAGAGAGAGAGAGACAGACAGACAGAGAGAAAGGTCTTCCTTCTGTTGGTCCACCCCCCAAATGGCTGCCATGGCTGGCACGCTGCGCTGATCTGAAGCCAGGAGCCAGGTGCTTCTCCTGGTCTCCCATGCGGGTGCAGGGCCCAAGGACCTGGGCCATCCTCCACTGCACTCCCTGGCCACAGCAGAGAGCTGGACTGGAAGAGGAACAACCGGGATAGAATCTGGTGCCCCAACTGGAACTAGAAGCCGAGGTGCCGGCGCCGCAGGTGGAGGATTAGCCTAGTGAGCTGCGGCGCCGGCCCGAATTCTATTTGTAAAAACACATGGTACAAGGTGACTAAAGGTTAAGTCACTGGTTAAGAGAAGCCTGCAGTGCATTTTATAATACTTGGGTTTGAGACCCATCTCTGGCTTCTAATTCCAGATGCCTGCTAATACAGATCTTGAGAGGCAGTAGTGTTGACTCTAGTAATCAGGTTTCTGCCACCAACATGGGAGACCTGGATTGAGTTCCAAGCTCTCAGCTTTAGCCTCGCCGGGACAGGCATGTGGACTATGAACCAGCAACTGGGAACTCCCTCTCTGCCTATCTGTCTCTCTCTGAATCTCTCAAATAAAAAAATATAGATAGGTAGATAGTAGCGTCTGTCAACGCTTTCTTTCTTTTCTATCTATATTTCTTATTGAGAGAGACAGCAGAGTGGACAGTGAGAGAGAGAGACAGAGAGAAAGGTCTTCCTTTTGCCGTTGGTTCACCCTCCAATGGCCGCCGCGGCCGGCGCGCTGCGGCCAGCGCACCGCGCTGATCCGATGGCAGGAGCCAGGAGCCAGGTGCTTTTCCTGGTCTCCCATGGGGTGCAGGGCCCAAGCACCTGGGCCGTCCTCCACTGCACTCCCTGGCCACAGCAGAGGGCTGGCCTGGAAGAGGGGCAACCGGGACAGAATCCGGCGCCCCGACCGGGACTAGAACCCGGTGTGCCGGCGCCGCTAGGCGGAGGATTAGCCTAGTGAGCCGCGGCGCCGGCCAGGATTTACTAAGTTTTAAAAAATTTAGATAAGTTCAAACATTTATAATAATTTTTTCTTAAAGTTTAATATTTTAATTATGCTAATAATTTCTATTTTGTATTTTAATTTTTTAAATTTTGAATATTTTACAAAAATGATAACATTTGAAAATAAATATGAACATAACTTTACTTGTTTATGTTTAATATATATTTTGATGATAATAGCTTCAAATTTCATATACTAGATACATGATTTTTCAAATCAAAAAATGAAAAATTGTATATATTTATGATGTATATGATATTTTGATATATGTGCACATTGTGGAATGATTAAATCAAGATAATTAATATGTGACCTCATATCCTTATAATTTTTTTTAAAGATTTATTTTTTCTATTTTTTCTACTGAAATGCTTAAATTCCAAACATCATATCGATTCACTCATAAATACTTCAGTATAGCTATCATTTTCTTCTACCAACAGCACCCTCGCTGGGATAGCAAGTCCATTCTGAAGCTTCCTGTAGCTTTTCAGGGTGACCCCAAAGGGACCCCTTGTTATGCAATTCCTGAACAAGAAGGATAAACTCCTCAGAACTTTGAGTCCGCCTACAACCTTCTACCCCTCATATATTCAGGGCTACTGATGGCTGAGAGTGCTTCTTTAGGTGCTGCTCTCTTTTTTTCTGCCCAGAGCCTCTCATTATGGTTTGGATGTGGTTTCTCCCCAGAGGATTGTGTTTTGGGAGCTCAGTCTTCAGCATGGCAGTGTTGAAAAGTGGTGGAACCTTTAGAAGTGGGACTTGGTAAGAGGTAACTGAGTCTTCGGCAGCACTGCCCTTAAGAGAGTTTACTAAGGCTTATGCGGGATCTCATTTAATTTCTCTGGGTATGGATTGCTACAAGAGGAGCGAGTCTAGGTCCAGAGTTCCCTGGATGTCTGTCTGACCCTAAGATCTCTTCTGCATGAGCCATCACCACTGCGATGCATCTTCCAAGATGGGGCCACCTGATCATGGACTTTCAGCCTCCCAAACTGTAAGATAAATAAAACTCCTATCTTTATAAGTAAAAAAAAAAAAAAAGATTTATTTTTTTATTTGAAGGGCAGAGTTATAGAGAAGCAGGCAGACAGAGAGGTCCCCCATCTACTGGTTCATTCCCAAAATGGCTGCAATGGCCGGAGCGGGGCCGATCCAAAGCCAGCAGCCTGCAACTTTTTCCAGGACTCCCACAAGGGTGCAGGGGCCCAAGCACTTGAGCCATCTTCTACTGCTTTCCCAGGCAATAGCAGAGAGCAGCCAGGGTTTGAACTGGTACCCATATGGGATGCTGGCACTCCAGAGGGCAGCTTTACCTGCTACACCATTCTGCCAGCTCCTATAATTTTTGAACTGAAACCTTTATAATTTTACCTATTTTGAAGTATATAGTACCTTGTTATTGAAAATTTTAGGCTGGCACTGCAGCTCACTAGGCTAATCCTCCGCCTAGCAGCGCCGGCACCCCGGGGTTCTAGTCCCGGTCGGGGCGCCGGATTCTGTCCCGGTTGCCCCTCTTCCAGGCAAGCTCTCTGCTGTGCCCCAGGAGTGCAGTGGAGGATGGCCCAAGTGCTTGGGCCCTGCACCCGCATGGGAGACCAGGAGAAGCACCTGGCTCCTGCCTTCGGATCAGCACGGTGTGCCGGCCACAGCGCGCTGGCCGCGGCGGCCATTGGAGGGTTAACCAACAGCAAAAGGAAGACCTTTCTCTCTCTCACTGTCCATTCTGCCTGTCAAAAAAAAAAAAAAAAAAAAAAAAAAAAAAGGTTTGATTTGTTTATTTGAAAGGCAAAGTTACAGAGAGGCAGGGGCAGAGAGAGAGAGAAAGAGGTCTTCCATCCGCTGGTTCCCTCCCCAGATGGCTGCAGTGGCCGGAGCTGGGTCTGTCTGAAGCCAGGAGCCTGGAGCTTCTTCCAGGTCTCCCAAATGGGTGCAGGGGCCCAAGGACTCAGGCCTTTTTCTACTGCTTTCCCAGGCCATAGTAAAAAGATGGATTGGAAGTGGAGGGAGCAGCCAGGACTTGAACTGGCACCCATTTGGGATGCTGGCACTGCAGGCAACGGCTTTACTCACTAATGCCAAGCATGGCCCCTTATTTATTTTTTTGAGTGAGGGAAGGAGGGAAGGAGAAGAGAGAGCATGCTGAAAGGCTGGAGTGGGCCAGGGCCAAAGCTAGGAGCCAGGAATGCAATTCAATTCTCCCATACAGGTGGCAGGGACCTGATTATTTGAGTTAGCACCAGGCTGCCTCCCAGAGTCCACATTGGTAGGAAGCTTGTGTCAGGAGTCAGAGACAAGTCAAACCCAGGTACACTGATATGGGGTATGGGCATCTTAACTGCTAAGCTAAATGCCTGCTCCATTTTAGGGAGAAGTTTTAGGAGGGGACAAGATATCTTACTGGAAGAATTCTGTGACCTGGTGTCTAGCTTGATTGTTAAAATGACAGCTAGGCCGGCGCTGCAGCTCACTAGGCTAATCCTCCGCCTGCGGCTCCGGCACCCCAAGTTCTAGTCCCGGTTGGGGCACTGGATTCTGTCCAGGTTGCTCCTCTTCCAGTCCAGCTCTCTGCTGTGGCCCGGGAGTGCAGTGGAGGATGGCCCAAGTGCTTGGGCCCTGCACCCCATGGGAGACCAGGAGGAGCACCTGGCTCCTGGCTTCGGATTGGCACAGTGCGCCGGCCGTGGTGGCCATTTTGGGGGTAAACCTACGGAAGGAAGACCTTTCTCTCTGTCTCTCTCTCTCTCTCTCACTGTCTAACTCTGCCTGTCCAAAAAAAAAAAAAAAAAAAGAAAGAAAGAAAGAAAATGACAGCTAAAGTTGATCTAGCATTGTTGTGCAATAGGTTAAGATGCCTCCTGCAATGCTGGGATACCATATGGCTGCTAGTTTGTATCCTGGCTGCTCCACTTCTGATCCAGCTATCTTTTAATGTGCTTGTGAAAGCAGCAGAGGATGGCCCAGGTGCTTGGGCCCCTGCCACCATCTGGGAGACCTGGATGGAGTTTTCCATTCCTGGCTTCGTGCTGGTCCAGTTCCAGCCACTGAGGCCATCTGGGGAGTGAATCAGCAGACAGAAGATCTCTCTCTCTCTCTCTCTAACTCTACCTATCAAACAAATAAAATAAAGCTTAAAAAAAAAACCATGACAGCTAAAGTAATCCTTTATTTTTGACAGTGCCTACTTTTATAAGCCTGTTTCACTTTAGGATCATATATAAATGAATAGATATTTTTTTAAAAGGTAGAATCACAAATAGAGCCAGAGCAAGAGGGAGGGAGAGAGGCAGAGGGGGAGAGAGGGAGAGAGGGAGAGGGGGAGGGAGAGAGGGAGATACTGCAAGAAAGAGGAATCTTCCATCAGGTGGTTCCCTCCCCAGATGTTTGCAACAGCTAGAGCTGGGCCAGGCCAAAGTCAGGAGCCAGGAGCTTCATCTGTATCTCCCACATAGATACAGGGGCCCAAGCACTTGGGCCATCTTTTGCTGCTTTCCTAGGCCATTAACAGGGAGCTGAATAGAAACAGAGTGGTCAGGACTCAA